TGCACGTGAGCCCATCGGCGCTGCAATACAATAAGGTCAGTGTGACGTAGGATGAAGTTAACAATAGTAGGACAACATTACCAAATACTAGCGACGTACCTGACGCCGGCACCACAGAGTACCCATCGTTGGGTAGTCGACCGCCGGTCTGTTCTCGTACAGCGACGCGTCGTAAGGGTGGTGCTCCACAAGGGGGCGGCCGATCGCAATCCTCTCAGCCGCCCAAAGAGAAATGAAGAGAGGGCACCCACCGAAGATCGCGCCAGGGTCCGTCCTGGTACAAGCCTCGCAGAGGCCACGGTACTGAGCCGCCAGCAACGCGGAGCCCCAACTCCACTGAGGCACCTCACCGACCGCGGCGTCGGCGATGCTCCTGGCGTAGTGCACGAGACCCCGGTCGACCGAGTGTCCGTGACTACCACAGAACATCACCCACCCAAAAAGCCACAACAAGTACGCCTCCAAACAACGGCTGAAGGAGTACTCGTCGGCCTCCTCCGGTAGCTGGTCAACCTGCAAGCGTTGGATGAAATGTTAGGCACTTTACAAGTTACGTACATAATACACGTCAGTTTAGGTAGAAAGAACTTACAGTGAACTGAAGCAGCCACCTCTTCGTAGGCCCGGTGTTGCGGTGCTGCTGCAACGGCTCGAGCGGTAGACCTGGTAGGCGCTGCACGGGTGCGAAACGTGCCGTCAGCTCGTCCTTCCAGTCGACACCCATGTCAACTGGCCCGACAGCGTCTCCCGCGAGCGGTAGCCCCAACAAGTAAGAGACATCCTGCAGGGTAGGGGCTACCTCACCGCACGGCAGGTGAAAAGTGTGCGTCTCCGGCCTCCACCGGTCGACCAACGCTGCTAGGAGGGACCTGTCCGGGTCCCAACGTCTCGTCACGTCGTCGTCGCCGGTCGCGGCCTCAACTAGCCGAGCCAACGGTAAGAGACCGGCCTCACGCAACCTGCGAAAGCGAAATAATACCAGACGTTAAAATGAACACATTGCTAAGCCCCCTCCACCGTAGTAAGGTAAGCCCGGTGTCGTGAACACAGTAAAACCATACCTCTCGACGAAGGAGTCGTGAACCAAAAGTCGCTCACGTGACGACCGTGGACGGAACGTCCCAAGCTGAGCCCCCTCCACCGCAGTAAGGTACGACCGGTGGCGCTGATCTATCGCCGGATCCAACAACTCAGGATGTGCCATCTCTGCAAGTAACGTGTTACATGTTAGGGTAAATAAGAAGGTAATAATATAATTGTAAAAACAAGTTATCTGAAACGGAAGAATACTTATAGAGACATGCAAGAGTGCAGATTATTGAGAACATAACTTTCGTTACACAAAGGCACGTAACGAGAATGAAATAACATAAAACAAAATTACAAGCCGTAAAACATAAAGACATTACATGCGGAAGTCTAACAAGTGGTTCGCAACACAACACAATGCGAACATATCGATAAGTTCGAACGAAATTACAAGCAAAGCCTTTTGCCAACATACAACACACGAACTACACCACGTAACCGGTCGTTCCACGTGAACGTCTAGGACGGGGTCGCCTTGAAGTAGTGCCTTCACCCGTAGGGCGAGCTCCATCTGCTGCTGATCCTGATAGACCTGCCTCCGCCGCACTTGGTTTTTCCTTGTCTTTAGGACAATACTTGTAGGTGTGGCCACGTTCATCGCATTTGCTGCACCGCTTCACCCTGCCTGCCTCCGACTCATCCATATCGTTGCGGATGCGCCGAGTCTTCCTCCGTCCCGCCTTGTCTCGGAGTTTCGTTGGGTCAGGAATATAGATTATCAGATCGTTAATCTTTGTGAACTCCCCAGCTACACCGAAGCCAAAAATCTCGCCACTCCATGTGTGATATATTGCTTGCTTGGAGAAGTATTGTGACACATATACTGCATCTTGGATGCCACACTCAGATGCCGCGGAAATGACATGGGTGCATGGCCTGTGGAGCAGCGTCGGCTTTCTACAGGAGCAGTGACATGTGCCGTCGTCTTTGAGAACGCACTCCTGCTTTACTCTCTTGCGGTAGATACCCCTGCCTGCCTTGTCTTGGCAGAGTACCTCAAACCTGTGTTGTTGGGTACCTTGCACTAGAGCTCGATGTTTCATGGCCTTTGCACGCCACTCCGCTAGTTTTTTCTCCATGAAAGTTCCAAATAAAATGTTGTTGTTCGGCATAGAGGGAAAAACTGCTTGGAACCGCTCCCTGAAATACTTGCATGTCCCATGTAAAATGAACTCCACTATACCAACTAGTGGGAGTCCACGGACACCGCGCATCACCCAGTTGTAAACTTCCGCCAAATTTGTTGTCATTATACCATATCTAGCACCACCTGTGTCATAAGTCTTAGCCCATTTCTCTTTTGGCTCATTCTCAATCCACTGAGAAAATTTTCGAATTTGCTCCCCAGTTCTTCTAACCAATGTTACACTGTCTGTTGGGAGAGCTCCGAGTGCTTGAGGAGGGTCAGGTACAGCGGCCGCTGGTCTTGTTGCACGCTGGTCACTACATTTGCCTGTCAACTCATCTAATCTCTTCCAAAGCTCATTGAATTTTTTCTCCTGGTTCTGATTGCATAGCCTCTTGAACATGTTCATCAACTCCTTGTTCTTAAATTGCTTGAAGAAATTAGCTCCCATATGACGCATGCACCACCTGCTTTGTACATCTTCCCACTGGCCAGGGTATCCTCTTTCCATAGTCCCAAACTTTAACTCTTCTATCGCTCGAAGCATACCGGCGTGCCTGTCATGTATTAGACACACATTGGGCCTCATACCAACAACTTCTGTCTTAACCAGATGGAGGAACCAGTACCAGCTGTCGGTGTTCTCGCTCTCGACAAAAGCAAATGCCAACGGCAATACCTGATTGTTCCCATCTACCCCAATTGCCGTTAGTATCTGGCCCCGATACTTCCCGGTCAAAAATGTGCCATCAATACAAAGAACTGGACGACAGTGCACGAATGCCATCTTGCATGCATGTAGAGCTAAGAACGCTCTTTGCAGCACAGTCTTGCCAGGATGTTCAATTGAGGGGAATGTCTTGAGTGCACAAGAGGTCCCAGGGTTTCTTTGTTGGATAACAGATAGCAGACGTGGCAAATTGTCATATGAGGCTTCATAAGTTCCAAATCTCATCTCTATTATTTTCTGTTTGGCCCTCCACGCCTTGGCATAGCTAATTGTATACTTGAAAGTCTGTTCGATATGTCGGATTATTGACTTCGGTTCATATGCCAGATTGTCCACGACATGCGCATACATCTCAGATGCAACAAATGCACATGTAATGTTCCTGTGGTATTTTTGAACACCAGGTAGATAACAAGTATGTTTCGTAACGACCGACACTGTCCAGTAGTCCTTCCATTTCCCCTTATAGGCGTGCACTCTCCACGGACACCCATCTTTTTCATTAACACACCTAACTTCATATTGTGTCCGGTTAGACTTGGCAACCCAAAACTCCCTATGAAGTGACACTGCATAATGCTTCACCGCCTCCTTCATGTCTTCTCCATTACCATACCTCGCTCCCTCGATAATCTCGTTTTCCTTGTACTCCCATCTCACATTTTCCCCTTCAGAGATGACCAAACCAGAAAAATCATCACTAGCCCATTCAGCTGGATTAATATTGTTCTCGTCATCATCTGACGAATCATCTTCCTCGACACGCTCGTTGTCACTATCCTCTTTTTCCATTTCGTCCACAATGGCACCCACAGTCTCCCCCTCGTCAGCCACTCCACCAGGTTGCATGCCTACTGGAGCTACTACTGGAGCTACTCCATCTTCCTCTGGTGCGTTGACCTGATCCACTTCAATCTCATTCACTTCTGCACTTGGCCCCTCGCCATCATCCATGTTCATCTGTACACTTGGATCCTTCGGATGAACATACGGAACCATAGCTAGAGGCCACCCACGTTGCAATGCATTCTCCACATACCATCTCCACATCCCAGAGTTTTGAACCGGCATTAGTTCCCAATAAAAACCCTCTGTTGCCCGACTTACTACAACATAGATTGTAATGTCACTAGTCTGTGGATCAACTCCCAAGCCCCGCATCAACCATTTTTTTATAGAAGGTACACTCCTCTCGGCTGGCCTATCAATTCCCCTTGCTGTTACAATAAATTCTGACAGATCTACCCCAGTTGGCCCATAACGGACGTTTCCTTGACCATGGTATAGTTGAAATATAAGTTTACTGGACATATCTGCAAAGTTAATTACTAGGCCGTTATTTTACATAATAAACGACTACAGTGTAATATCTTCTTTGCAACGTACCTAAATTTTTATATATTCTATTGCAATGTTACTCAACAACATTTAAAACTACAAACCTAATAACTACAAATACTACAGATCTACTAAGTTACCTACATGGCTACATCTAACAATATATATTTATATAGTACCACAGGTAAAACTCTATTTCATACAATGCATTTATCATATATTTAGTCACGTATATAATCTACGAATATTACCTGAAATCGAAGTTTGAAACTGGCAGGGCTTCGCCTCTTCTTTTCTTCTCCTCCCCTTCTCCTTTTTTTTTTTTTTTTGATGTGGAGAGGTTAGGAGGGAATGGGCTCCTCAAAGGAGCCGGCTGGGCTTTATAGGCGGCCAGGCCTGCCGCCTTCTGTAAGGGCGGCAAGGGGGTCCTGCCGCCCTTTGCCAGGGCGGCAAGAGGGCAGGAGGGGGCAGGAGGACGGCCGTCCCGCGCCGTCCAGCGCGCCGTGTGCCACGTCGGCTTGCCGCCCTTGCGAAGGGCGGCAGGTCTAGTTTTGCAAATTTTTTCGGCGCTATAATATTTCTGTAAATATTAAAAAAAAAAATCTAAAAATACAAAAAATTCCAAACAACGCGAGGGTTTATACCCTCTCCGCCGCCGGGGGAAGGGGAAGAGCTCTCCGCCGCCCGCCGGTGCCCGACATTGCGGCATCGGCGAGCGCGAGCGATTCATCCAAGAATCGATCGAGCTCGAGCGGGGGCTTTCCTCCACCGCGATCCGCCGCGGCCACACCTACTCCTCCACGGTCACCTCCTCCCCCGCCTCTTCTTGGTTCTTCTTCAAGGAACAATCCCTCGTCGAGGTATATATATTCATCTCTATGTCTCGCCGTTGCTCCTCTACCTTGCTCTTTCAGTTCTTGGCTGAGAACTCGGGATTACCGAGGAAGAAACCAGTGCGTTCTGTGATACAAAAAAAAAAAAAAGAAATTTTGATCTTTGGCTCAGTTGCATGATGTCTCTACCTGGGCGCTTCGAAACATGTTAATCCAGCAGATTCGTGTTGCAGTTTGTCTTGTGATTTTGTTAAACTTAGGCTGCTTGTTTCATCAATTGCCTCGTAAATTCCAGGTTTTAGTTTGTATAAATGCTGATGTTTTTTTTATTAATTGATTTGTGGAATATTCGTTTGTTCTTTTGGACAAGCAATTCTAAGATTGTAATTCGTTTAGTAGTAGATCACTTGTTTATCAATTGTTCCTGTAAACCAAGATACTACATAGTTTGTTACATTAATTCCCTTCTAGGTTTGCAAAGCTGCTCTGTGTTAACTGATTTCGAGATAAATTAATATGTTTCTGCATTTATTAATAATTTTATAGATGAATAAATAGGTTACATACTTGATCTATTTGTGAAGATAAGCAAACGAACCGTGAAGCCCAAACATGTACATGAAAAAGCGAAAAGTTTTTTGTTTCGTCAGTATAAATATGCGACATGAATTTTCCATCATATATTCATGCGGTTCATTATGATTTCATTAATTTTAATCTAGGGCTCTGGACAACTGCTACACCTTGAAAGACCTAACTAGCTCTGCTGTATTTCTCAATGGAGCGTCTCTCCGAGGAACTGATCATAGAGATTCTCAAGAGGATTACAAGGACAAGCGATCTGAATTCTCTTTCTCTTGTGTCGAAGCAGCTCTACGCCATTGATGCGGAGCAAAGGGCTACTATTTGCATTGATTGTGGACTTTCAACAGAAGATTTCTCAGCACTCTGTTCTCGGTTTCCCAATTTGCTAAAAGTAGAGATCGGTAACTCTGGTTCGACACCTGGCAATGGGAACCATATTGACAACCAAGGTCTCTTTGTTCTTTCATCTTCTTGTAATTCGCTTAATGATCTCACCTTAAGCTTCTGCTCAAAGATCAATGATGCTGGTATTGCTAGCCTAACTTACTGCAAGAAGTTGATGTCTCTGAAGCTGAACTCCATACCAGATGTAACTTCAAGTGGGCTTCTCTTGGTAGCTTTCGGTTGCAAGGCTCTATCTTCTCTCTACCTTAATGATTGCAAGGGAATTGCAGCCAGCACTGAGTGGCTGGAGTACCTTGGCAGTGATGGATCATTGGAAGAACTCGTCGTCAATAATTGCCCGGGAATAAGCCAGTATGACTTTTTAAAGTTTGGTCGAGGATGGATGAAGCTTAAGAAATTTGTGTTTGTAAACAAGGAAACCATGGTGAACCACTTCATCACTCGCCATGACCCCTCATACAATGCTAACTGTGTGTATAAATATGATCTGTGCTGTGAGAATTTGGAGGATTTAAGGCTGGCTCGACTTCGAACAGAGCCAGAAGGTCCAGAAATAGGACTACGTTTTCTGCTAAGGAAGTGCAAGGCGTTAGAGAAACTATGCCTCGAGTATGTTGGCGGTCTTATTGACAAGGACATGATTGTGCTATCCCAGAGCTGCAAGAACCTTAAAAGCATCTCACTTTGGATGATGCCTCGACGCTTCCATGAACATGAGGTTCTTAGGATGGGTTTCACCGATGAAAGCCTTGAGATGCTAGCCCACAACTGTCCATTACTTCAGGATCTCGAGCTCACATTTGCAGGTGTTGAGGACTTGGAATATCCGGAAATAGGCTTCACACAGGAGGGACTTGTGAAGCTCATGCATTCTTGTCCAATCCGTTCTCTCACACTAAACGGCACCCTCTTCTTCAATGACAAGGGGATGAAGGGACTCTCATCTGCACCGTTCCTGAAGACACTCCGCCTCGTCGATTGCAAGAAGATAACTGATTACGGAATGTGCTTCCTTGTGCACTACCCATGCCTGGCTGATCTCAAGCTTCAGTATTGTTCTGGTTTGACAGATGTTGGAATAGCTGAGCTTGTACATGCACAGAAATTACAGTCTCTGGTTGTTGAAGGCTGCTCTAATATATCTGAACATGCTGTGCAGGGCTCAGCTAGATCAGTCCAGTACTTTCCCAACTCGGCCAGATCAGGTGCTACCCATCTTAAAAGACTCGTTGATTGAGGCTGTTAATTGGTTGCTTTTGCTGTTAACCCTATTGTCTCTGTGATCGGACTTTTCAGTTTTCACCGCCATTTTTGAACTTGATTTTACTTTTCCCTTTTGTTCCTGTTATTCGCTCTAAACATAAGACCAACTGAGCAAAGTATATGTACTAGTAGTACTCTGCAAGTCTGCAGGCATCTCATCATTGTGTCCCCAGCTAGTGTACTGAATTTTCGTGTCAAACTTGGTGTTGGTGGTTTTCAGCTTGTCATAATTTTAGTTGCAAATATATATTTCATTAAACTTGGGAATGCTTGATCAGTTCTTACACATAAACAACATTTGGCTGGTCCTAAGTGTAAATGTGTAATTTTGTCTTGAGTTGACCCACACTCCTGAGTGAGCAAACATTTTTTTACAGCGTAATGTGTACAAACTTGCTGCACTTGTGCTACAGGCTCCTTTTTTTTTCTTCGATTACACGGCTGATGCATATGGATTTACACCACTACACACGCACATCCACGAATTCGCTCCTTAAAACACGCTTAAAGAGACGAAAACCTGTAGTACATCCTAATCTCGCTAAATTTCTATTGAAAGCTCACTTGCATGTGTAATATTTGTGGACACTAGAGCTTTGACATGATGGGTTGGTGATCTTGTTCCAAGGGGTTAGCCATGTCCATGTACAATACAATGTAGTGGTATGTATATCCACTCTGATGTGTTTTTAGACCTAAGCTCTATAAATACCAGTTGTTAGAGTGTGTAACTTGGTCCACCACCTATGGGCCACAAAGAGTCATGCATGTTGGGTTTGCTATCCCATAGGTTCAATCAACTCGACCTACAATTTCACATCATAAGCTTACATAACCTAAAAGATTAGTTTGACGGAGAAAGACTCTACACCTTTTAAGATGTGCTACTTCATCATTAATTAGAAAATTTGGTCCGAATTCAGTTTACTCTTAAATCAAGAAACATTTAGAACTGAAGTATTACGATGAGCGGTGACAGCAAAGATCTGATTAGTAGCATTATGAACCTATGGGCGACGTTACTCTTAAAAATAATGAGTTCGGAGATGAGGGGAAATAAAATGCTAAATTTGACTACGACAGTATTTGGATGTATTTGAAAAGATTAAAAATGAAATAAGGGACGTTTTTTTTTAAAAAAAGAAAGTCTATGTTACTCTCCCAAAATATTTTGTTGGATGACTTAACCCCTAAACTATTTTTTTCTCATTTTACCATTAAACTATTAAAAATTATTTATTTTACTGCCGAGTAGCATTTCTCTTTGTGCAACTTATATAGATAGAAAAAAAACAGAAATTTTGTTACGAGTAACATGAGTCATTTTAAATAGTTTGAGGGTGTAGGTTATGTGATCGGCTAAATAATTCAAGGAGTAAGATAAACAATTTTTCAACAATGTTTAGTTTACATGAAAAATAGGGTTTCACACAATATAAGAGGAAAAAAAAGAGTTCTCCATTTTTTTTAAAAAAAAAGTTGCGATAAGGTGAATTTTCTACATATACTATTAAAGTTTAATTTCCTTTCGAAAAAAAAACATATGCTGGTATTTTTATTCTAACAAATAAAGAAAATGAAAAAAAGGGAGAAAAAAAAACAAACGACCCAATGGGCCAGGAGGCCCAGGAACGCGACACGAGCGACGCGAGGGTTTTATCGCTCTCCGCCGCCGACCGGAGTAAGGGGAAGAGCTCGCCGCCGGTGCCCCGACACTGCGGCGGAGCGGGACTGCGGGAGCGAGGTGGCCGCGCGCGAGCGAGGCTTTCCTCTACCTCCGCCGCATCCACCCCTCCTCCTCTTCCTCCTCCACGATCACCTCCTCCCCACCCTGCCCAGTTCGGCTGGTCCTCTCCCGCCCGCCTTCTTCTTGGTTCCTCTTCAAGAAACAATCCCGGCCATCGATCGCCGATTCCTTCGAGGTATGTATCTACCTTGCGCTTTCAGTTCTTGGCTGAGGACTCGAGATTACCGAAGAGGAGACAAGTGCGTTCTGAGATTGAATATAAAAAGGAAATTTAATCTTCGGCTCAGTTGCATGATGGCTCTTCTACCTGGACGCTTCTAAATATGTCGATCCAGCAGATTCGTGTTGCAATTTCTTGTGATTTTTTTTTAAACCTAGCCCTGCTTGTTTCATCAATTGCCTCGTAAGTTCCAGTTTTTAGTTTGTATAAATGCTGATGTTTTTTATTAAATTGATTTGTGGAATATAATTCGCTCGTTCCTTTGAACAAGCAATTCTAAGATTTTACTTCGTTTAGTTGTAGATCCCTTATTTATCAATTGTTCCTGTAAACCAATATATACATAGTTGCTACATTTATTCCCTTCTAGGTTTGCAAAGCTACTCTGTGTTAACTGATTTCGAGATAAATTAATAGGATTCTGCCTTTATTAATCGTTTTGTAGATGAATAAATAGGTCACATACTTGATTTATATTTGTGAAGATCAGCAAACGAACCATGAATCGCAAACATGTACAGGAAAAAGCGAAAAGTTTTATGTTTCATCAGTATGAATATGCTACTTGAATTTTCCATCATATATTCATGTGGTTCATTATGATTTCATTAATTTTAATCCAGGGCTCTGGACACCTGCTACACCTTGAAATACCTAAGTTGCTCTGCTGTATTTCTCAATGGAGCATCTTTCCGAGGAACTGATCATAGAGATTCTCAAGAGGATTACAAGGACAAGTGATCTGAATTCTGTCTCTCTTGTGTCGAAGCAGCTCTACGCCATCGATGCGGAGCAAAGGGCTACTATTTGCATTGGTTGTGGACTTTCAACAGAAGATTTCTCAGCACTTTGTTCCCGGTTTCCTAATTTGCTCAAAGTAGAGATCGATTACTCTGGTTCGACACCTGGCAATGGGAACCATATTGACAACCAAGGTCTCTTTGTTCTTACATCTTGTTGTACTTTGCTTAATGATATTACCTTAAGCTTCTGCTCAAAAATCAATGATGCTGGTATTGCTTGCCTAACTTACTGCAAGAAGTTGATGTCTCTGAAGCTGAACTCCATACCAGAAGTAACTTCAAGTGGGCTTCTCATGGTAGCTTTTGGTTGCAAGGCTCTATCTTCTCTCTACCTTAATGATTGCAAGGGAATTGCTGGCAGCACTGAGTGGCTGGAGTACCTTGGTAGTGACGGATCATTGGAAGAACTCATCGTCAGCAATTGCAAGGGAGTAAGCCAGTATAACTTTTTAAAGTTTGGTCCTGGATGGATGAAGCTTAAGACATTTGAGTATGAAAACAAGGAAAACTTTTTTAGTATTCACCCACGTTATGGCTCATCAGTCAAGGCTAACACACATAGATATGAACTGTGCTGTGAGAATTTGAAGGATTTGAAGTTGGTGCGTCTTGTAACAGAGCCAGACGGCCCAGAAATAGGACTTCGTTTTTTGTTGGGGAAGTGCAAGGCGTTAGAGAAACTGTGCCTGGAGTATGTTACTGGTGTTATTGACAATGACATGATTGTGCTATCCCAGGCCTGCAAAAACCTTAAAAGCATCTCACTTTGGCTAAAACCAGAACATTACGTTGTTGGTGGTCATATAGAGTTCAGGACAGGTTTTACTGATGAAAGTCTCAAGGCTCTAGCCCTCAACTGTCCTTTGCTTCAGGATGTTGAACTCACATTTACAGGTTGTGCGCACTGGGATCCCCCTGAAATAGGCTTCACACAGGAAGGACTTGTGAGTTTCGTCGAATCTTGTCCAATTCGTGTTCTTGTGCTAAATGGTGCCCTCTTCTTCAATAACAAGGGGATGAAGGCCCTATCCTCTGCACAATTCCTGGAGACACTCAGCCTTATCGATTGCAACGAAGTAACTGATCATGGGATGCGATTTATTGTGCATTTTCCAAGCTTGATTAACCTCACACTCCGGTTTTGTCATAATGTGACTAATGCTGGTCTGAGCGAGCTGGCTCATGCACAAAAATTACAGTCTCTGGACGTTGGTGGCTGTGGTTACATTTCCCAGAAAGGTGTGCTGGGAGCTGCCAAATCAGTCTACTATGAAGTGAATTGCAAAAGTCTTGGCCATTATAAGAGGATGTGTTGAAGCTGTTAAGTCATTGCTTAGAGTGCATCATTAGCATTAACCAGTTATCTTTTTCTCGTCTTACTATTCACCATCATTTTGTACTTGCCAGTACTTAATTGCTGTGGAAAGCTCTAGCATAAGAACGTGTTATGGTGTAGATTGTGGAATGAACGAAAATCCTCAGTGACTTCCAGCACTAGTGTTCTCAAGATGGTTCTGCTTATTTTGTCTTGAATGAAGTTCAGAATTCATCTTTCACCATCATTTTGTACTTGCTAGTACTATCAGTTAGTCTTTTTATTGCTGTGGTCCGCTGTAGCATAAGAACGGCTTCTTGTGTATTTTGGAAGATGGCTCAATGAATGAAAATCCTCAATGATTTCCAGCAATGATGTTGTGAAGATTATTCTGTTTATTTTACCTTGAAATTCATATAATTCAGCCTCAGGATTTTCGTTTTCTGCAACCTTTGGAGTCAAAACTCGCTATTCCTCATTGCCTTCTGACCTAATTTAATGCGGTTTTCAGTAGGATATATCAATAATCAATAGTTGAAAATGTTGGATATGTATGTACGTTCAATCACTAGGGATGAATTGACTGTGTGGGAATAATGTATTTGTACAAATTTACCATATTTCTTCCGAGCAACACTCTGAGAGTTAACTAATAGAGACTCTTTCAACGGAAAGTTTCATTTCAAAATTTAAAATTCCGACATTAACTAAAATTTTCAAACTTCGAATTCAAACTTCCAAACTCAAAATTTAAGACATTGTACATTTTTTAAAAAAACAAACTCCTGCTAAAATATACTCCATCCATCTACCTTTGATAGTCATATTTCATCTTAACACATGACCAAGGATAAGTAATTTTACTTATCATACATTTGAATATGCTACTAATCATTCCTCGTAAACAAGCGATTCATTAATATTTACATTTTTCGATGCCCATGTAGCCAATCTTGTGTGGAAGAATAAAGAGTCACGTATTAAATCCGAGAAAGTCATTAAGAGGATAGGTTGTTGGATTGAAATATGCCTATCAAAAATAAATTTTTCAGATTTGGAAATATGACTATAAAAAATAGATGGATGGAGTACTAAAGTTATTAACGTGATTAATTTAGAGAAAAAAAGTCGCTAAGCGTGTCATTATGGCGGATGTGAGATAGCGGATGTACTAGCCGCCCTCTTTAAAGTGAGTGGTGATTATTTTGAAAAATGGGCTCGGAGATAAAGGGTGATAAGAAATTAAATTTTAGTAGCATGATATTTTTGATCTATTTGAAAAGCTAAGAAAATGATTTAAGGGACAATTTTTACTTCACGTGAACAATAGGCTTTCACACAGTGTAAGAACTAAAAAAAATAGAAGTTCCTTTTAAAAAAATAATGTTGCAAAATGTACATTTGCAATATATTATCAAAATTTTCATTTGCTTTGGAAAAAAACATATGCTAGTATATATAAAGGAGGGGAAAAACATTGAAAAAGAATAAAGAGACCATAGGGCCAGGAGCCCAGGGCCCAACAAGAGGCCCAGGACGCGAGGGTTTTCTCACTGGAATAAGATCACTTTGACTCCCTCAACTGACCACCGAATCTAAATCGTATCCCTCAATCGCAATACCAGAAATCTTGAACCCCCAACTTACAGAACCGGTACAATTTGACTCCCTTGGTGGTTTTGGAGAGTGGTTTTGCTGATGTGGCGCACACCTGGCAGTGTTGACTTGGTCTTCGTCCCACGTGGAATTGACATGGCGCTTACGTGGCATTAAAATTTAAAAATATAAGCAGGGCCCATTTGTCATTCACACAAAAATAATTGTAGGCCCCACTGACATGTGGGTCCCACATGTCATCCTCTCTTTATCCCTTCTTCCTCCTCCCTCTCCTCCCTTCTCTATCTATCCCTCTTTCTCACATGTGGGCCGCCGGACCAATCAAACCGGAAAGCCATGGCGACCACGCCGACCACCACCACCACCACCCCCTCCGCCGCCTGCCTCCTCATCCCCATCGCCGCCGCATCGCGCGCTTCCTTCTCCACCCTCGCCCTCCCGCGATCTCCCTATCCCTCTCCCGCTCCGCCGCCGCCGGTTGCCGCGGCCACCTCGCCAAGCCATGGCGACCACGCCGACCACCACCACCACCACCCCCTCCGCCGCCGCATCGCGCGCTTCCTTCTCCACCCTCGCCCTCTTGTGATCTCCCTATCCCTGTCCCGCTCCGCCGCCGCCGGCTGCCGCGGCCACCTCGCCGGCGCGGCCTCAAAGTGCAAGGGCGCAGGAGCGGAGGAGAACAAGAAAGGGCAGGAGCAGGAGGAGCAGGAGTAGTAGGAGGCGTCCGCGACGGTGGTGGACGGCGCGGAGGAGGCCGGGAAGGAAGAGGGGGGAGGAGGAGGAGGGGAGAAGAGCCCCGAGGCGGTGGCAGCGGTGCTGAAGGAGGCGAAGGCCGCGGCCGCCGGTGGCGGGTGGTGGGCCGGCGTCGCGTTGGAGATGTTGAAGATCGACTGGTGTCACGCCCTGAAGTTTCCCCCTTTTCTTGCTTTAAAAATTGGTTAAATAAATTGCTCGAAGAAATTGTTTAAATTAACCTAGAGCTAAAACCCTAATTAATAAATGTATTTAATAATCGATTTCGGCGTGGTGGGATTTTTCTTGAGTACCCCATGTCACAATATATTAACAAGATTTTTAGTGGAATTTTCAGAGCCTTGGAAATAATTTTAACCAACTAAAAATGAGCAAGCGCAATATTATAATCCAAGGAAAATCCTTTTTCTCTTTTTTTCTTTTCTTTTCCCTCCTTTTCCTTTGTTGGGCCGTCGGCCCATCCCTCTCCCGCTCGGCCTTCCTCTTGTTGGGCCGGCCCATGCGCCCCTCCCTCCTCTCTCTGGGACGTCGACAGGTGGGCCCCACCTGTCGGTCGTCTCCCACCTCCAGCCGTTGGAGCCGGAGCTCCAACTGCTGCCGCCGAAACCGCGCGCCGCCGCCTCCTCCGCGTCTCCCGCGCCCACGCCGCGCCGCTCCCGCGTCCTCCTCACGTCGCCGCCTCTTCCCCCGCATCTCCCGGCCCGCGCGCGCGCTCGAGAGGGTGGGATTCTCTCTCTCTCTCCTCCCCACGTCGCCGGCCAAATCGGGAGGGTTCCCGGCACGTCCTCCCCTCCCTCGCCCATAAAAGCACTCTCCCGAGCCCCCTCTTTCATTTTCCCTCATTTGCCACGCTCTCCCGTGCCTCCTATCGCGCTCGCGCCGCTCGCTGCTAGCGCCGCCTCTTGCCGTCGCCTTCGGCCGCGCGCCACCGCCGCTAGAGTCGCCGCCGCGCCAACCCGCCACCGCCGTTAGCTTCGCCGCCGCAAGAGCTTTCCCGGCCACCGCCTCGCGTTGCCGGAATCCCACCGGAGCGCCTCTCCCCTCGCGAGCCGGTGAGTTTTTCCCTCCCCTCCATCTCCGGCCGGCAATTCAAGCCGCCGTGGTCGTCGTCTCCTCTCCTAACGCCTCTCCATCTTCTCCTAGGGTGTCGCCGCCGCCCGTCCGTGCCTCCGCATCGCCGGTCATCGCCGCCATCTTCATCCTTCGCGCCGGCCGCCGTGCTCACGGTGAGGAGCTCCTCTCCTCTCTCCTTCCCTCTGTCCCGCACGCGCTGCCGCTCCCTGCGCTCGCCATCGCCTTCGGCCGCCGCCGCCGCCTCCCGCGCCGTCGCTTGCCGTTGCCGGCGCTCGCGCGCCGCCGCCGCTCGCCATGGCCGACCGGCCGGTTTTGAAGCCGAGCCGAGCCGTGCCTAGCCGCCGCCGTGCCGTCCGATCGGCCTCCCGGCCGATCTGGACCGTCGGTCCCGTGGACCGGCGGTGGACCACCCGCGTGGTCCCGGTCCACGGTGGACCGACCCCCTTTGAGCCACTGACCCGTGGGCCCCGCCTGTCGGCGCCGCCCCCTCCCCTCGCTGACGTCAGCCCTGGGTATTATTGCGCAATAATTGATTAAGGACTTTTTTCTTTATTAGTAAAAACACAGTTTATCTTCTAAAATTTATAACTAATTCATCCGAGCTCAGTTTAAGTCCATTCAAGTCTCAGTAAATCAAGAAAAATGCAAAGAATCCATTAAAAATGGTTTTGTTTCCTGTTTCAGTAGTCTTATAGCATGTTTTGCTTGTGTGCTTTGTTTGTCGCGTAGATTTCGGCCGTTTCGTCGATCCGCGGTTTCGTTGCTGAGGTCTCATCAGTGCGAGAGCAAGGCAAGTCATGCATTATAATTGATCATATTGTACCCAATTTACAAATATCCCGCATTTCTATTAAATGTTGCATTCTTTTACAATGTCATGTGGGATGGGTCCTATTACCCAGCCATATATTGTTTACCTTATGCCATTGATAACTTGGGTATCAAAATGACTAGATGTTGGTTTAGGAAATGCTTAACCATGCTTAGTTCAACTAGCACACACATGGGGATCACATTATTACATTGACTTTGACCATGAGCATAGCTTTGGATTGGTGCCACCGCAATGGTGTTAGTTAATTAAAATACACTGAATGGTGGGCTGTGGGTGCATGGTTTTGCTGGTCGCACCCATGGCAATTAAGGACCGGTTCACGGGAAACCCTGGGAGACTTACCGTGCTTACCACAAGCGGGAGTGGGTAACTGCTTGATCTGAGGTATAGCTCAACCCTTTCCTAGGCACCGGTGGCGAGGGTGGGCGTGATGGAGTTGGGTCGGCCGGGGTATCCGGTTGTCCAGCTGCCGGATTCACCGCGGCGCAAGAAGGGACCGCCCACTGCCTTTTGAGGGGTGGGGGTGAAACCTTAGCGTGGTGTGGATGGTTAGGGGAGGGTTATGCGGAGGGTCTTGTCACGATTTCCCCCTTTGCAGTATCATGGTGATACTTCGGGGCATGGCGACATGTGTGGAATCGTGTCTTGTGGGTACAGTTGTACACCTCTGGCCAGAGTAAAACTATTCGAATAGCCGTGCCCGCGGTTATGGGCGACCAACCAGATTCACCGTGATTAGTCTCACCCCAAGTTTAGTTTAATAAACTGGTGTAGTTCAGGTGGTTGGTTGGGCCTGTTGCAACGTGGTGTAGCGTTGGACTGTTTAATTACTACTACTGTTTTATTGCTTTCAACTACTGTTTTTAAATGCTAGCCTTATGCAAAAGAACCCCTAGCCTCCTTTGGTTATATCCTGCATCATACCTCCTCTTCCGGTATGACTTGCTGAGTACAGTGGGTAGTACTCAGTCTTGCTCTCTTTTCCCACACACCAGAGCTGAAGATCTTACTAGTTGGAGCTGTTTTGTCAAAGTTGGTTTCGTCGCTGCCGTCAAGGATTGCCTGTGGAGTGGAGTCGCCCGCTGCTGAAGTC